GAAAGAAAAAGAAAGAAAGAAAGAAAGAAAGAAAGAAAGAAAGAAAGAAAGAAAGAAAGAAAGAAAGAAAGAAAGAAAGAGGAACCGGAGCCCGACAGTGTCAGAGATCGCCAGCACCGGGATCCCAGCTCTGCCACTTTCTCATTGTGTAACTGTGGGCAAATTCTTCCCTCTCTGCCTTACCCACGTCACCTTTAGAATGAGGGCAATAATACCTACCAATCAGACTTGTCAGAATGAAATGAAAACCCACTGAAGTCTTTAGAACAAGTGCTTGCCACATACTCATAAATGTTCACTCATACTCTTTTACAACTTATAAAAATAGCCACTCTCAAATCTAGGATGGCTATTTGGTCACTAACATGACAAAGAGCTAAGCTCTTCGATAGGCAGAGTGAAATGTTCAGAACTATTTCTCTGCCACAGCAAGACTGTTTTTTTTCAGCACAGGCCAAGCCAGCTGAAATCTCTGCTTCCAGGGAAAATGTAAAGACTCTCCTGCAGTGGCCATGAGTTCCATTTGATAACTCAAACTCAAAGAAGACTCTAGCTCCAAGAGCATCCTGAGAGCTGAGTCAGCAGGGAAGTGCAGGAGGCCCCCTAGGACAGGGTAGGACCTGCTGCAGAGGCTGACCCCAGAGCTCCCAGGGAGGCAGCCCATGGCAGAGCATTCGAGGTCAGTGCAGGTTCTAGAACCAAAGAACAGTCAAATCAGTGGGCAGGACAGAGCAAGGGAAATCCCAACAACTGGCAACATCTGAAATCTGAGATGGTGACGATGTGGCCCTGGGTGATCTGTCACTGGCAGCAAGATTCTCAGCCTGTGGTCCAGGCTGTGAAGGAGGGACCAGCTCTCAGAGGAGATGGCTGCCGACAGTTAGTCAGGATTTCCTAGGCAAGTGCATTTGGATTAAGAACAGTCCTAGCAGGAAGCATGGCAGTAAGCACATATGTCAAGACAAAAATACTTTCAAATTACCCTAGCTAATATGACAGATGAGTGGGAGAAAGTATACAAAGGGAGAAAAAGGGAAAGGGAATGATAAAACCCAGAGACCATGAGTCACTCGGGGCTCAGCCCTGGCATGCCAGAAGCCAAGTCTACAGCAACAAAGACTTGATCCCAAGCTCCTCCAACAGTGCTACTTCCTTTCACAGTGGATCTGTTGACCCAGCTGTGGGCACCTGTACAGAGCAAAGGCAGGGAAAATGACAGAGTAGGGCCAGAAGGCAAACCGAAGACCAAAACATTATCAGAGGCAAGCATTCCAGGCTAAGTCAAGGACATAAGTGTCCATATGTAGGTTTCATCCTGTAAGCCCAGCACTTCAGATGAAAGTAATCAACAGAAGGTTTATCAGGGATGTGGGGTGACACATGGGGCACAATTCTATTTAGGGTTAAGTCTTTCCTGGAGAAGGTGACTAAGTGGCAGCTAACCTGAGTATATTTTCTTTATCTATAGCGTTTCCTCTCAGCCACCAAATCCAGAGGACAAATGCCAAAGGCCTCTAGAGGGTTAATCCCTGGATAATGACCTAGAGACTCACAGTGATCTTTTTCCATTGCACATCTTAAAGCATAAATCCATCCCCTAACACTCAAGACTTTCCTCTTCCCAAGTCTCTCAACCAGAGCTAGGATCTCAGCCCCCACCCCTCCTAGCCGCAACATGGCTATGAGCCGTCAACTTGACATTCAGGGGCCATGCCAATCTTTGGGGCCTCGGTCCACCAAACTGCTCCAGGGCAGTGGGAAGGAAAGAGCCAGCAACATTCACAGCACCAGAAAAAAAAAGAAAAAAAGACTTGAGACTTTTTCCCATACCAGTGACAACTCCAGGGATTCCCAGGCTGAGCAACAGAAAGTAGGGGGTCTGACTGCCACAAAATGCAGGCAAGTCACCTAGTTCTGGCCGTGTCCTTGATGAAGTCAATTCCAATGTCTAAGACTCAGTTTCTCATCTGTAGCATGAAGAAGCAAAACTAGGTGACCACCAAAGTCACCTCCAAACCAGGATTCTATGATCTATGACTCCCTGATGAACGAGACCGAAGCAGTCCAACATCTGTCCAGCTCAAGGAACCAGGCCACATTCTCTGCCAGGGAGGGGCCCCAGACTGGAAGAACAGGAGTGGTCATGAGGCCACAGCCCTAACAAGGTTGGTGACAGACAGCAAGCCATACCCTGGAGCCTGGAACCAGCCGGGCCAGCCTCTCCTGGACTTCTGCGAGTGTTCAATTCCTGAGTGCAAGAAAAGATACCAGATTCCCAGGGGCAGGAGAGATGAGCTTCCTTTTCCTCAAGCTAACATCTGGGATGGTTCCCTGTGTGTGTATATGTGTTTGATGGGGGTTTGTTCCCCTCCTCACTGACTACCAGTTTGATGCTGCCCACAGGAGCTAAAGCCCTTGAGGCTAATCCCACTGGCATTCCTCCCAGGCCAGCCACCCCCGCCACTCCCGCCGCCACCTTCCCATGCAGCCTCTCACCTGGGGGTTGTCCATGTACCAGAGAAGGCAGTTGGCCTGGGTGTCCAGAATAAAGTACCTCCGTAGAAACTTGCCACTGTTCTCATTCTCCTCGATGTCCAGAAACCCACAGATTCGGTTCTGTCGATCCACATAAGGCATTCCTGGGCTCTGCTCACATCACCCTGCACGGCAGGAGGAAGGGAGGTGATGAGGAGGAAGGTGAATCTCATCCTGCCTCAGGACCTGTAAGAACTTCACTCTGGCTTGACTCACCTCTGTGAGAAGCTAGGCTCTCTCTCTCATCAGCCCTCCTTCCCCAGAGAACCAATTGTTCCACCCCAACCAGACCCTGGAAACCTCTCTCAATTCTGTTCCATACACAGCCAGCAAAATGCATGAGCAGGTACTCAACTAAGTTTCCTGAGGCGCTACTGTGTGCCAAGCAGAGCCTCGGGCAACTTTACATATAAAGAGGAAATAAGCCTAGATCAGGGGCCTGGGTTCTAATTCCAGTTTTAGCCCCTTAATAAGTGTGTGACTGCAAGCTGTTTCATCTTCTTGTGCTTCAGTTTCTGCACCTGTAAAACAGGGTTAATAGTGGTACCTACACCTCCTAAGATTTTGGTGAGAATTAAGTGCCTGGCACACATTAAACATTTCATAAACCACTAGGTATTTTTATTGCCCTTCACAAAAGCCTTCTAAAGTAAGCCATAACCCAATTTTATACATAAAGAAACTCAGAAAATATTTAAGCTCCAACTCAAATACTCATATAAAACTTTGCCAGGAATTCAGTCATCAAGAGCAAACCCTCGGGCACCTGGGTGGCTCAGCTGGTTAAGCGACTGCCTTCGGCTCAGGTCATGATCCTGGAGTCCCAGGATCGAGTCCCGCATTGGGCTCCCTGCTCAGCGGGGAGTCTGCTTCTCCCTCTGACCCTCTTCCCTCTCGTGCTCTCTATCTCTCATTCTCTCTCTCTCAAATAAATAAATAAATAAAATCTTAAAAAAATAAAATAAAAAAAAAAAGAGCAAACCCTCTAGCTCCATGAAGGAATTAAATCTGAGGGCCACGTCCCTCAGCCCTAGCTTCACTTACTTTACTCTGCTGTTACCCAAAGGCCACTTATGACTGGAAGAATGAGGAATCAGAAGAAGGCCCCAACCAATGAACACCTTTACTGACTCCAACAGGGTCTCTGATGATGACAGACAAGCTTCACCTTCAAGCCAGCCTCCTTTCTCCACGTGATTTCCTTCTGACTCTCTGGAGAGCCAGACGAAGGGCAGGGGCTCTATTCTCCTCCCCAAGGAGGATGAGCACCTTCCAATAAGCAGTTACACCCAACCTGGATCACAGCACAGGGCACAGGTAGAACACCCCCACAAGGGTCGGAAAACACCACATGACATTCTGACTTTCAAGGACAGACACCACCCACCACTGGGCCCTGCTTGGCTTCAACAAGCAAAACTCACTGTGACCCAAGCCCACCAAGGCCCTAAGCAAAGTGGGGAGCCGGCTGGCTGGAGGCCATGCGTGCACCACAACGCTGGGTCAGCAAGTAAGCTACCAAGATGCCACACCCAGAGTTGTCCAGGCCCAGGGCAGGCCAGTCCCACATTCCCACAAGATTAGGCTCACTTGGGCGCCTGGGTGGCTCAGTTGGTTGGGCGACTGCCTTCGGCTCAGGTCATGATCCCGGAGTCCCGAGATCGAGTCCCGTATTGGGCTCCCTGCTCGACAGGGAGTCTGCTTCTCCCTCTGACCCTCCCCCCTCTTGTGCTCTCTCTGTCTCAAATAAATAAAATAAAATCTTAAAAAAAAAAAATTAGGCTCACTCAAAGGGTGGCAACTGGTGGCATGGTCTGTTCTCTCCCACCCCCATAGGGGGCCTGGCAGTGTGGAGGGGCAGACCCAAGAAAAAGTGCCCCCCCAACACTCATGTGAGTGCGTGCAAGCCCGCGTGTGCACACGCACACGCACGCACACGCACACACACAAAGATACCAGGGAACAAAAAATCCTTGACTGCAGGTTAAGATCAGGCCAGATTCCTGATGGGGACAGATGACAGTCAGAAGGGACATGGGTCAGGGGCCCATGGCTACTTGCTGGATAACGGTAGGAGACAAAAGAATACAGCAGGCAGAGAAATGGGACAAAGGTGAAAAAGCACAGCTAAAAGGAAGGAAAGAAGGAAAAGAGAAGGTGAGAAAAGGACAAAACCTGGGAAGATGGCGGAGAAGGAAGTAGCAATATGGAGGAAGTGGAGGACCACGGCGGCAAGGAGGATCTCGGCGGTCACAGGTTGCACAGCCGGACCCCTGCTCTCCTGGTGCTTTCCCAGCGAACCCTCCATCCCAGCTGCGGTTCCACAGCCGGGCAAGCGTGAGGTCCAGAAAGGGGAAGGGTGGGCTGGAGTCAAGAGTCAGGAACAAGCACCAGGGGAGGAATTTCAAGTCTTCTAGCAGACACTGGGTCAAAGACAGGAAGGCAGGAGACCTGGCTTTGGCTAGGAAGGAGCATACCCCTGAGAAAGGATGCAGCTTCCCCCCAGAGCATCAGGGGGAAATCGGAGTCCCATGCAGAAAGGCTGGGATGTCCAAAGCATCCGATGCATGGTCCTGTGCACAGCCGCCCAGTCGGGATGAGGGAGCTCACCCAACCCCCAAGAAAACCAGGCAAATTCCCTTGATGCCAGCCCAGCCACAGAGACAGAATTTCCACTAGTTTCAGGACTGCTACCACTCCTAGGACATCTCTAAGAGAAAGCATATAAACTGCAGTGGGGGTAACCAAGCCGACTGTCTTTAGACCCAGCTGGTAAGCATGGCATCCAGCTTACTGCTGGCTTTCAAATGTTCCATTTTCAGCCTACAGGATTAATCAGTGCCAGCCTTTCTGTCAGGTCACAGGCCAGAGAAGGCACTGTCAACAATCCTCCAACAGGCTGCTTTTGTGGAGGGGGCTCCCCACCTCCATGGGAAAAAGGAAGGAGAACAAAAAGAATTCTGGTTACTTCTCCTGACTGTGGTTCTATCGCCAGAAAAAAAAGCTGCTCGGATGTCCTGGGAAGCAGCTGAGTCACGGAGCTCATCAAGAATGTGGGAGGCAGGGGAGAAGCATGGGCTGCAGGAGAACCAAGCATCACAGGGAAATGCTGTTATGCCTAGGCGGCCCACACAGAAGCAACATACTCAAAGATGGCGCACCAAACACAAACCTGACGTCCTAACCCCCAATCCTCTGTCAGTTCATTCTGACCCCACTTTTCATCCCTTATCAGAACAGAGGCTAAGGTTTGGTACAGGGAGCCTGCTTCTCCCGATCCCCCAACCCCCACTCTCTGCTCTTCAACCTGCCGCCACCATCCTCCAAGGCCCCCTGGCTCCTCCTCTTTTTCCTGGAAAGGCCCCCCTAATCCAGTGATCTCTGCCACCCCATGCCCAGCCCCAACAACTGGGCAGTGAGGGGAGAAAGGGAAGTGCTAGTAATTGAGTCATAAGGGAAGAGAAACACCTTGATGCACACATACATACTGTCACCCCAAATTCCCCTACTAAGACCCAGGCAAAGCTTTGTACCATTCTTTCTACATCCCTCCAATTAGTTTTAGCCTGTTTTCTGACTCTTTAAAATCCCTTGTTATCTTAAATTTCATTTTAATCCAAGTTTCCCACTGTAAAACTATTGAGTGGAGGGTGACATAGGTGCTCTATCCCAGGACTTGCCCCCAACCCATGTCCTAGGCCCCATACCCTGACAATGACTCTCTCCCCATCTCCTGGGACAACATGGTGAGTGTTCTCACTGGGGTGCAGCATCAGATACCCCTCTCCCAGGCGAGCCCCTTCACCTCTGCTCTAAGAGCATAATGAAACCTCCTAGCAAGTAGCTGCAGAGTCTTCACAACACATTGGTGACAAAGAACACAGAAGATCTGTGCAGAAAAGGACCTTGGTCCACCCAACTCAGTACCCGCTTTCCAAAGTTTGCCAAACCTCCCTAGAATTTTCCATTTTTTGTGCAGAAATCACAGTATAAGGATGCTGGAATTTTTTAAAAATTCACTCTAGCCAATCGTTTTCATTTTTGCATGCTTTTTCATGCCCCTCTCCACTTAATTGGCCTTTTTAAATTTTTAAATTATACCATAAACATGTTCCCTGTTACTACATAGTCTTTATAATCATTGCTTTTAATGGTTGCATAACATTACTGAACTGCATTTACTATAATTTACTTAACCATTTCTCTATGATTAGACAGATTATATTCAAATTTTCACTATTATAAATAATGTTATGAAAATTCTTATTTTCATGCTTTGTTTCTTCTTTCACATGGAAACAGCATACACAAATTCCAAGCAACAATATGACTAGAGCATAGGTAATGATCTTTTACAATTCTTGAGACCTATTACAAAACTGCTTACTAAAAGCATTGTCTGTTTACTTTGCAGTCAGCAATATATTGTTACCATCTCTATAATCTTGTATACATTGAATGTTCTCATTTCCAACTGTTGCTAGTTTCAAATATATAATGATGCCTACTGAGGCTGAACGTTTTTTCACGTTTGCTTCCTGCTTCATCTTCCTTCCTGGATCTTGTAAAATGCAATTCAAATTACGTGCACATACAGTAATGCGTTCGTTCTCTCTCTCTCTCTCTCTCTCTCTCTCTCTCTCTCTCACACACACACACACACACACACGCTCATCAAACCAAACCAAAACACGGCCTCACATAATCTAAATAACTGAAGAATGTATTTTAATGAAGAGTAAAATAGAAAAGAGCAAAGTTTTTTTTTTTAAAGATTTTATTTATTTACTTGACAGAGGGAGACACAGCGAGAGAGGGAACACAAGCAGGGGGAGTGGGAGAGGGAGAAGCAGGCCTCCCGAGTAGCAGGGAGCCCGATGCGGGGCTCGATCCCAAGACCCTGGGATCATGACCCGAGCCAAAGGCAGACGCCCAATGACTGAGCCTCCCAGGCGCCCCAGAAAAAAGGAAAGCTTTATATGATTCAAATTTCTTCAGTGTATAAATTCCTAAGTATGTACTGTGCTTGAAAATATGTTAAATATTTAATTTATGGTAAAAGGGAGACTTTGAGCAAAAAGTGAGTTTGCACTGAGTTACCAACTGATCAGCAGCAGAAAATGGG